AAAAAAAAAAAAAAAAAGACATTGGGGCACCTGGGTGGCTCAGTGGGTTAAGTGTCTGACTCTTGATTTTGGCTCAGGTCATGATCTCACAGTTCATGAGTCCGAGCCCCACATCGAACTGTCAGTGCAGAGCCTGCTTGGGATTCTCTCTCTGTCTCTCTCTCTGTCCCTCAAAAATATATAAATAAACTTTATTATTTTTTTTAACTTTTTTTTTAAACATTTATTTATTTTTGAGACAGAGAGAGACAGAGCATGAATGGGGGAGGGTCAGAGAGAGAGGGAGACACAGAATCTGAAACAGGCTCCAGGCTCTGAGCTGTCAGCACAGAGCCCGATGCGGGGCTCGAACTCACGGACCACGAGATCATGACCTGAGCTGAAGTCGGCCGCTTAACCGACTGAGCCACCCAGGTGCCCCTATAAATAAACTTTAAAAAATATAATGTTTATTTATTTTTGTTGAGAGAGAGACAGACAGAGTGTGAGCAGGGGAGGGGCAGAGAGAGAAGGAGACACAGAATCTAAAGCAGGCTCCAGGCTGTGAGCTGTCAGCACAGACCCTGATGTGGGGCTTGAACTCACCAACTAGGAGATCATGACCTGAGCCAAAGTCGGATGCTTAACAGATTGAGCCACCCAGGTGCCCCAAACTTAAAAGGATTAAAAAAAAAAAAAGACATTATAGAGGAGGAAACTAAGGTCCAAGGTTGCAAAGCTAGTGGGTAGCCAGAGTTCAAACACAGGTACTACATTTGCATTAAATGGCCCCAATTCTTCATCCTTATAACCACATCCTTTGCCATAGAACTCTGGAGAGTTCTATGTAGGGAGGGGAAAAGTGGAAGAGCGTCCCCTCACAACCTTGACTTCCGGTTTGGGCACATGACTAGCTTTGACCAACAGAATTAAGTGGAAGGGTTGTTGAATTCTAAGCCTAAAACTCAAAGGACTTTGCATGTTTTTGTTTGTGCTTGATTGCGACTGTGAGAAAAACACTCTCAGGGTAGGCTGGGCCTAAGGCCCCAGTCACTAAAGCCAAGGCCGGCTAAAGCAGCCAATAGTCAGCACTGCTCCCCACCCCACATCCCAACACGTGAATCAGCCCCACTGAGACCAGAAAAACTGTCCAGCTGAGCCCAGCCTAAGTCCCTGACCTCAGACTTAATGGGTAAATAAAGGCGCCATGTTTTCAAACACTGAGTTTGGGGTGGTTTCTTATGCAGCATTATTGTGGCAACAGCTAGCTGACATATTGTCTGATCCAGAGCTATGCTCTAGAACACTTGCCAGATTGCAAATATGAAACTAAAGAGGGTGGGAGGCATTCGGATACCTCTCCTCCTCCCTCTGGGCCCCCAGGCCTGATTCTGAGACTACAAAAGGAAGGAACTGTGAGGAGATCAATGTCCTTCTCAAAGACCCAAACAGCTGACAACACACCAGACTGTAAGAAAGCAGGGTCTGAGTGTTGGTCAGTGTAGCGGAGATTGTCCCTTTGAGTGGACACTCCAAAATCCACTGTTATTCTTCTCTCCTTCTACAGAAAGCTATAAGTAGGCACATGGCTACTTACCACCTGTGTGACCTTGGCCAGTCACTTCCTCTTTCTGGGCCTCAGTCTGTTCATCTGTAAAATGGTAATAATGGTGCCCATATTCTAGGGATGTTTGTAGATGAAATGAGTTAATAGTGCAGGAAATATTGTATCTAGTACATGCAAGCCCTTGATACATGGTCCTTGTTATCATTATTCATCCTCTCTGGTCACATATCTTAGCATATCAAAGTGCCTGTGCTGGAGTCAGAGAGAAAGGAGTTCAAGCCCTGCTTTATTCTTGCTGCATCTTTAACCCATCTTTAACTTGGCCTCCCTACCTCAGTTTCCCTCCCTGTTAAATGGTGATCACAACTGTTTCCTCGGTGGAGAATACTTGGGGATGGGGAGGCACTTAGCACTTGGTGAGCTCTCTGTCAGGCTGGGAAGAGCGCTGGCCATTATGTGATTGAATGGAGAAGGAAGGGAGGCAAAGGAGATGGGGGAGGTGGAAAGAGGTGTCCCAGGGCCCCAGCAAAGGCTCCAGGCTGGGGGTGGGAAAAAAAAAAAA